GCAACTGATGCTACATGCAGTAGGTGGGCTGCACTAATTACACAACTAACTCGAATAGGAAATCCCAGTCATCCAGGAATTCTAGAAGTCATCATGGACTGGCCAGAGGGCAAAGATTTCGGAATGTCACCAAAGGAGGAGGTGGTGCATGCTGAAGAGGCCCCACCATATAATAAACTGTCAGAAAGTGAAAAGCAGTGCGCCTTGTTTACTGATGGCTCTTGCTGTATTGTGGGAAAGCATCGGAGATGGAAGGCAGCTGTATGGAGTCCCCTACGACAAGTTGCAGAAGCTGTTGAAGGAGAGGGTGAATCGAGTCAGTTTGCAGAGGTGAAAGCCATCCAGCTGTCCTTGGACATTGCTGAATGAGAAAAGTAGCCAGTACTTTATAGTGACTCATGGATGGTGGCAAATGCCCTGTTGGGGTGGCTGTAGCAATGGAAGCAGAGCAACTGGCAACACAGAGGTAAACCCATCTGGGCTGCTGCACTATGGCAAGATATCGTTGTCTGGGTGCAGAACATGGTGGTGAAGCTATGCCGTGTACCCAAGAGTCAGGCCACTGAGGAACACCAGAACAACTAACAAGTGGATCAAGCTGCGAAGATTGAAGTGGCTCAGATGGACTTAGATTGGCAACATAGAGGTGAATTATTTTTGGCCTGGTGGGCCCATGACACTTCAGGCCATCAGGGCAGAGATGCAACATATAGATGGGCCCGTGATCGAGGGGTGGACTTAACAATGGACACTATTGTCCAGGTCATTCATGAATGTGAAATGTGCTGCAATTGAGCAAGCCAAGCGGTTAAAGCCTCTTTGTTATAAAGGATGATGGCTGAAGTATAAATATGGGGAGGCCTGGCAGATTGACTATATCACACTGCCACCAACCCGCCAAGGCAAGCGCCATGTGCTTACCATGGTGGAAGCAACCACCAGGTGGCTGGAAACATACACTGTGCCCCACGCCACTGCCTGGAACACTATCCTGGGCCTTGAGAAAGATTTTGTGGCAACATGCCACCCCAGAGAGAATTGAGTCAGACAATGGGACTAATTTCCAGGACAACCTTATAGACACTTGGGCCAAAGAGCATGGCGTTGAGTGGGTATATCACATCCCCTACCATGCATCATCCTCTGGGAAAATCAAATGGTACAATGGGCTGTTAAAAACCACACTGAGAGCAATGGGTGGGGGAACTTTCAGACATTGGGATACACATTTACCAAAAGCCACCTGGTTGGTCAGCACTAGGGGATCTTCCAACAGGGCTGGCTCAGCCCAGTCAGAACTTTTACATATTATAGGGGGGGGATAAAGTTCCTGTGGTGCACATAAAGAATTTGCTGGGGAAGACAGTCTGGGTAATTCCTGCTTCAGGTAAAGGCAAACTCACTCATGGGATTGCTTTCCCTTAGGCACCGGGATATACTTGGTGGGTAATGTGGGAAGATGTGGAAGTCCAGTGTGTACCTCAAAGGGATTTAATTTGGGGGGAAAACAGCCAATGAACTCAATTATATGCTGTTTCCTGCTATATAACACTTTTATAGCCCATCAGCTAGATGCCTATCTCCACCACTCTGGGTTTTGAAAAGAAGATGCTGTCATGATCGTCAGCAGAGAATAAAGTCATGAGAAAAGCAAGCAGCAGCAGCAGAACTGTCCTCAGGTCATCATCAACTGACTCTGACATCTCTCCGATCATCAACCCAACAAAGAATGAGCTTTGATGAAACCAAATGAGCTCAGCAGTGTCCAGACGAGGTTAGCAGTGACCAGAGGAGTTCAGCAGTGTCATCAGCAGGCAACAACCCAACACTACACACTGTCTCCTGCCCTGAAAGACTGTTACAAGAGATAGAGCCTGACATCATGGAATGAATTTAGCAGCTTCATAGGGATTGATCCATGGACTAGGGAATGGTATCTGTCTCTTTCTATGTGTGTGGGGCGTATTTATATATATCTGGGACAAAAAATGATATATTGAAAAAAAGTCTGAGCATGAGGTGAATGATATGGAATAAGGGATGGATACTGCCCTGGGTTCAGCTGTAACAGTTGTTTTTCTCCATCCTAGTCGCTGGTGCAGTGCTGTGTTTTGACTTTCGTCTGAGAACAATGTTGTTAACTCACCAGTACTTTAGCTGTTGTTAAGTAATGCTTACCCTGATGAAGGACTTTTCAGTCTCTTCTGCTCTGCCAGTGAGGAGGAGCATGTGAAGCCAGGAGGAAGCAGAGACAGGACACCTGACCCAAACTAGGTAAAGGGGTATTCACAGCATGTCATGCCCAGTATATAAACTGGGGGGAGTTACCTGGAAGGCCCAGATCACTGCTCATGTCAGGCTGGGTATCGGTTGGAGGGTGGTGAGCAATTGCATTCTGCATCACTGCTGTTTATTGTTTTCTTTCCTTTCCCCTTAGTTTCATATACTCTCCCCTTGTTATTTCGCTTATCATTATTATTATTGGTGGTAGCAGTAGTGGTTTTGTGCTATACCTTAGCTCCTGGGCTGTTCTTATCTCAACCAGTGGGAGTTACATTATTTTGATTCTCCTCCCCATCTCTCTGGGAGAGGAGGCTGGGAGGTAAGAACAGAGGGAGTGAATGAGAGGCTGTGTGGCTCTGAGTTACTGGCTGGGTTTAAACCACGACACACACAGACATGATTCTATAGGCAATCAGGAGAAATCTCTGAATAGGTAGCTCTTGTCCTTCTGGGAGATTTCCACTTCCCACACATCAGCTGGGAATACCATAATGTCACTGCTGGACAAGTGAGGCTGCTAAATTCCTGATGTTTGTGGAAGGTAACTTCACAGTATCACACAGTATCACAGTATACTAGAGATTGGAAGGGACCTCGAAAGATCATCTAGTCCAATTCCCCCTGCCGGAGCAGGAACACATAGATAGTGTTACACAGGAATGTGTCCAGGCGGGTTTTGAATGTCTCCAGGGAAGGAGACTCCACAACCTCCCTGGGCAGCCTGTTCCAGTGTTCCCTCACCCTCACTGAGAAGAAGTTTCTTCTCAAGTTTAAGTGGAACCTCTTGTGTTCCAGTTTGTACCCATTACCCCTTGTCCTATCATTGTTTGCCACTGAGTAGAGCCTGGCTCCATCCTCGTGACACTCCCCCTTTATATATTTATAGACACTTATAAGGTCACCCCTCAGTCTCCTCTTCTCCAAACTATAGAGACCCAGCTCCCTCAGTCTTTCCTCATAAGGGAGATGCTCCACTCCCCTAATCATCTTTGTTGCCCTTCGCTGGACTCTCTCCAGCAGCTCCCTGTCCTTCTTAAACTGAGGGGCCCAGAACTGGACACAATATTCCAGATGGGGTCTCACCAGGGCAGAGTAGAGGGGCAGGAGGACCTCTCTCGACCTACTAACCACCCCCCTTCTAATACACCCCAGGATGCCATTGGCCTTCTTAGCCACAAGGGCACAGTGTTGGCTCATGGTCATCCTGTCGTCCACTAGGACCCCCAGGTCCCTCTCCCCTACACTGCTCTCTAATAGGTCGTTCCCCAACCTATACTGGAACCTGGGGTTGTTCCTTCCACAAGTACTCAGTGAGCCAGATAGAAAAGGTGCCCTCCTGGACTTGCTCTTTGTGAATCAAGAAGGACGCATGCGAGGTGTCATGATAGGAGTCTGTCTTGGCCACGCTAATCCCAAAGACCTTGAGCTCAAACTTTTGCACGTCATGAGGGAAAAGTTAAGCAAAGTTGCTACACTGGGTATCAAGAGAGCAAACCTGAAGGTGCAGAGGGACCTACTTGGCAGGGTCTCCTGGGCAGGAGCTTTTGAGGACTTAGGGGGACATGAGAGCTGCTCACTTTTAAAGAACCAGCTTTTGAAAACACAGGAGCAGCAATCCCATCATGTCAATGGAAGTCAAGCAGGTGCAGCAGAAGAACAGCTTGGAACTCTTCTTGGAATTGGGATGGGAACAGAAATTGTGTGCTCTCTAGAAGCAAGGCCGAACTTCTTAGGAAGACTACTGAGCTGTGGTTCACACTTGGAGGGAGACGTCACAAAAGGCCAAAGCTCAGCTAGAGATGAAACTGGTCAGTGTTCCATCAGACAACAACAAAAGGCTTTTTGACATATGCTAATAACAAGCAGAGGCCTAAGGAAAGTATTGAAACGATACTTTATGAAGATGGCCACTGAAAAGTGGGGATGAAGAAAAGACAGAGGCATTTAATGTTTTAGTATTGCCTCAGACTTCAGTGTGCATGGTAGACCTGGGGCTTCCCAGGTCCTGTGAGTCGGAAGACCATGGCTGCAGGAGCCATGACTTTCCATTGGTGGACACTGCAGTTGTAAGTGAGCAGTCCTTGGGGTTGGGGCTGGGGCTGGACATGGGCATCCTGGGGTGAGTCCCACAGGGCTCTGCCCCATCTGGGCCCCCGGGTTCCAGAACTGAGGTCACAATGGTGTTCCGTTCTAACCCGGTGCTGGCCCAGCAACAGCCCCAGTACCTCCATGGATGGTGCTGCGAGTGGCAGCACCAGTGGCACTGGGGGTTGCAGCAGCCAGGTGAAGGGGAGCAAACACCGACACGATGTACATTTGCAAAAAGCTCCGTTTATTGCTTACAAGGCTGCTATTAATATACTGCTTTGAGCTCCCTTACACGCGATCACGCACTACTTGATTGGCTGCCTCGCTTCGTCCATGAAGTGTTCACGCGCCGCTATTCCTTTTCTGATTGGCCCTAGGTGTTTGTGTTAGCTTGGCATTATAACCTGTTTTGCGGTTACTGGTATCCTGTTATTGCATTCCTATTTTGCTGATTTTGACATTGCTTCTTCTCCTGACTCGGGGTTATAAGTTCATATTCTCACAGCTTGCTGTAGACCTGTCCGACTGTCCATGCTCGACCCCCAACAGGGGGTGCTTCCCTTTTGTGGAGGAGAGCTCCCGTCCCGAGTGTGACAAGCTTTTATTTGCAAGTCTTCTTGCACCCCTGTCAGGATGGGGCAGTGGCTCTGCTGCTGCAGGTCCAGGTGGGTTCCCCCACAGCCCAGGGATGCACTGGCACAAGCCGGGCCCTGCAGCAGCTGCCTTGCTCATGTCTGATGCTGTCTGCCCTGCAGGGATGACCCTGGCCCCAACCAGCAGTGTGTACCTGACCGGGCGTTGCCCAAGCCGCTGCTCAGGGAACCCGTGCAGGTGACACAGGGCCATGGCCAGAGGAAGAAGAGGGACCTCGTCCTCTTCAGAGACACCCTGGTCATTGCCAAGACCAAGTAAGATTGGCAGAGCCCAGCTGCCTTTCCTCCCAAGACCTGGCCCTGCCACCAGGGCACCAGAGCAGGAACAGCCAAGGAACAGTCCCAGGCCCCCAGCACCCTGGTGGTGGATACACCCGTGGCTGTGCCCATGGCAGGTGGGCACTAGAGGGGAGCCAGCAGGCTCAACCACCTCCAGCTCACTCCCTGCCACTCCTCTCTGCAGACCTGGCAGCATCCCATGCCCACAGCACTGCCTGGTCCTGGTCCTGCTCCAGGTGCTGAGCGGTGGGAAGGGCTCAGACGGCGATGCTGCTGAGGAGGAGGAGGAAGGGAAGGCCACCAGCTCCCTTGTCTTCCTCTGGCCCTGTGGCTCTTGTGTCATCACTTTCTGGTGAGTCCTGGTGCAATGTCTCATCAGAGGGGTGGGCAGCACCTCTGCCCTGCCCCATGGGTCATCATCCACTGGGGCACAGCAGGCACTAAGGCTGTTTCTCCCCTCTTTTCACAGCTCCCGAGCAGTGAAGGAACTCCGGGTCAACGCCCTCCTTGGGTAAGCCCTGCCTGGCACTGCAGCCTGGGCTGCCCTTGCTTCCATCATGGTGGGATGCTCCATGAGTGGCATCCAAATGATGAGAAAACACCTCTGCTGAGCTGAGCAGAGGTGCCCCCACAGCTGCAGGCAGAGGTGCCCCCACCGCTGAATGGGCACATCTGGTGAAGATGCTTCCTCCACCTGTGTCCAGCCAACACCGGTCCAGCCCCATTCTTGCCACTCCCGCTGTTCCTGCTCCACTGCTGGGCAGTACCAGCTGTTCCTGGTAGTGTGGAAGCACTCCCCAGGCTGGCAGCAGAGGGGAGAGCTGGCTTGGGTCTCACACAGCTTTTTCTCTGCCCCTTCCCTGTGCACAGACCACCGGAAGGAGTTCAGGGAGCCAGGGTGACCCAGCTGCCGTCCATAAGGCTGATGCTGAAGGAGCTGAGTGGCCGCCATGCTGTGAGTGTCCATCCTGCCTCTGCTCTGCCCCCAGGGGCTGCCCCAGCCCAGCATCAGCTGCATCGCTCCTCACCTTCTGTTCTTTTCCACTTGCCCAGGGGACGGCACTGGATGCCAGCAGCCTGGAGGAGCTGCTCCAGCGCCAGGCTCAGGTCAGACTCACTTGAGGTGCTATCTCACCCATCCCCACCTCTCACACACGGCCAGCAGCTGATGCAGCTCTCCAGGGGACCTTTCTGCTGTGAGGTTCCTTGGTGAGCGCAGCCCATTTCTTGCAGGCTGGTGCCAAGCAGCTGCCAGTTCCTGTCCCCCCCCCCCGCAGTGAAGGCAGACATGGCCATGTGAATGGTGTGGAGAAGACAGGGGCAAGATGACCCTTCTCTCCTGCTCTTGCAGGCAGGCACACCTGCTGTGATGGGGCTGCCGCTGCCCTTCCCACAGGGCACGTCTATCCTCGGCAGCAGGAGAGAGCTGAGCCCCAGGGCCCCTCATTTCCGTGTAGAACATTGGCGGGTAGACAGCACTGAGGGAGTCTGGGAGCACTCTCCTGGTGCTTCTCCTCCACGGCTCTTTGCTCTGTTTCCCTTGGCAGCAGGCGGGACGAGCAGGAGCAGGAGCAGGAGGATGCTGCCCTGGCCATTTGCACGGCCAGTCATCTTGGCTGCAGCAGGGGCACCAGAGCCATCGGGCTCTGCTGTTGTGGGAGCTCTTTTTGGCCAGCCCCTGGCAGATCTGTGCAACCAGGATGGCATGCTGCCCCAGACCATCCAGGTAAGCCAGCCTGGGCAGGGGTTCCCCATCCCATCCCTCAGACTCGTCCCTAGATAGGCTGTCCCCAGCACCTACCTCAGGGTCTGTCCCCAGCCCAGCAACTCTCCTTCTCTGTGCCCTCAGGACCTGCTGGCTCTGCTCAAGGAGCACAGCCCATCCACAGAGGGGATCTTCCGGCGGGCGGCCAGCGAGAGCGCCTGCCACGAGATCAGGGAGGCCCTGGACAGCGGGGTGCTGGTGCAGCTGGAAAACCAGCCTGTGCTGCTGCTGGCTGTCTTCTTGAAGGTGAGCCCTGCTGACCCAGAGCCCTGCAGCTCCTGGCTCTCTTGGGGCTGATGGGCACCTGTGGGAGCACAAGCACAAACCCAGCCACCTGCTCATGAGCCAGAGGGCTGGGGATGCTGCCTGGGCTCCTGGAGGCAGTGGCCAAAGCCTCACATGGAGCCCTTGGCACTGCAGGACCTCCTCCGGAAGATCCCCTCTAAGCTTCTCAGCACCCAGCTGTACTAGGAGTGGATGAGTGCCATGGAGAAGACCAGCAGGCAGGAGAGGCTGGCAGTGCTGAGAGGGTAAGTGTTGCAGCAGCCAGCAGGGACTGGCACAGGCTGGGACTCCACTGCAAAGCAGTGGCCTGCCTGAAATAGCCATGGTTCCTGCAAGCAACCTCCTGCTGCTGTGGAGTTTATGTTTGGGGGAAAAGAGGCACTGAAAAGCTTTACTCTGCAGGGAGTACTTCCCACAGGTGGTGGGGCTTGCTCCAACAAGGGTCTCTTTCAGAGAGGCAGGGAGGGAGGGAGGTGGCTGTATCAGCAAAGGCAGTCCCTCTGCTGTAGACCAGGCAGTGGCCTTTGGTGAGATCAGCCTGGGAGACCTGTGTTGTCAACACCAACTTTATTCACACTGTGCTCCTCTTCCCTCAGGGTGGCCAGCAAGTTGCCAGAGGCAAACCTCCTCCTGCTGGGCACTTGCTATCCCTGCTTAGAAGGATCAGCAGGAACGTGGCCATAACCAAGATGACTGCTGGGAACCTGGCCATCTGCCTGGCACCAAACCTCCTGAGCCCACCCCAGGAGCTGCCCCTGGATATCCTGGCTCTGCAGACAGGGAAGGTACGCTGTGCTCACTGCCAGACTACAGCGTCCCCAGCCCAGCCAGGCTTTGGTGCTCAGAAGGCCCTGGCTGCCACCTCCCATCAGCAAAGCCATGGGGCAGTAGCCGGGAAGAGCATCCCCATGGCTGCACCTTCCTTCAGAGAAATGCGGGTCAGGCTGGGAAAGGCTGTTTGTGCCCTCATCAGCCCCCTCAGTGAAAGCAGTGGTTTGCTGTGTGCAGGTGACGCAGCTCGTTGAGTTCCTCAACGACCACCATGAGGAGCTCCTTGGAGAGCAGGTGGCTGGGCTGGCCAGAGAGGACGATGAGGAGGCACCAGCACCACAAGCAGAGCTGGAAACAGCAGAAGTAAGTGAAGTGCATGAGCAGCATGACAACAAAAGCCTCCCTAATCAGAAGGTGGGGCTGCTGCCATCGCAGGAACAAGCATGGTCATCCACCAGCCTGCAGCTCTGCCAAAGTGCAGAGCAAGGCTGATGCAGGTTGGCCATCCTGCTTTGTGAGGTGATCCCACCACAGGTGGCTCACCTGAGCTGAGCAAACCCATCCAAGGAATGTGCCTTTTAGAGCTAAAGTAGCAATTGTGCAGGGAGGTCCTTGCCCCCTGCTAACCTGCACATTGCCATTGCAGGTGCCTCCCATCACTCCCGAGAGCAAAAAACAGAGGAGCTCTTCCAGGGAGAAAAGGTAAAACTGCCTGGCTTTGCTTAGTTCAAGGTACTCACGGCTTTACCTGTCTAACAATACTATTGAATGGAAAGGTTCCCAGAAGAAGGGTCTTCACGGAACACCAGGAAGCAGAGAGCAGCCTGGGAAGAGGGCAGTGATGGGCCACCATGCCAGAAGAAAAGCACAACTGAGCTCTCAGGGATGGGCGACTGAAGAAATTCAAGTAGGGGAATAACAAGGCACCCAGGTATGTAGCAGACCCTGTGTTCCATCTTTTTGTCAAGCTCTGAATATAGGAAATGTTCCTGAGGTGCACAGGATTGTCCTGCCCTCGGGGGAGTATGCTTGTTACTATGCTTATAACTATGTTTATTAGTCTATTACTACGTCTTTTCAAAGCAAATTTTAGGATACACCTTAGGATATATTTAGGATATAGTTTAGGAAGCATGTTATAGGTTAGTAGTTATTTCACATTTTGTGAGTACACACTTCATAGGATCATAGGATAGTTAGGATTAGAATAGGATAGTTAGGGTTGGAAAGGACTTCCAGTAATTTCATATTATGTCACAAGACTACTCTTCGCTTGGCTTTTCATCTGTGTTAGTAAAAAAGCAGAAAGAATTACAAAAGTTGTATCTCTCTGCCTTGCCATCTGCATCCTGCAGAATGGAAAACAGAAAAGAAAGTATACTGAGAGAGTCTTTGGATTAGGAAAGAAATGACAGAAAGATATTTATGAATGCAGAAGAACTACTGCAACAACTTGAAAAAGGTTCAGATAAGCTGCAGAAGAGTACTGCCTGCTGGTGGAATACAGCTGCATACCTTAGACACCTGTTAAGGTCCAGAAGTAAAGAGTAACTTGCTTCTAAAAGAAAATGCACAGGCAGCAGAAAGGAGCATTGAATTGCAGCACTGTGTTTTCATTGACAGCTGTTCATGGTGGGCAGAGAGGTACAGAAACAAACAAAAAAAAGTCCCTCAGATCCCTCTGCACTCTGATGGGAGAAATGCTGGGAGATGATAGCAGGTGTCCCAGGCATCTGCAAAAAAGCTGTCTCAAATCTGAGTACCAACAGAGTGATTTGTTGGTAATAGGGCTCAGTGACTGATACGTGCGTATTTTCCTTGCATTTGCTGGAATACATTGTACAGATTGCCTGCAGTTCTCAGCATTGCTTCATATGTATTATGCCTTTCTGAATTTTCTTTACCATTTCTATACAGAAATAAAGTGTCATATACACATCTGGCCAGTCTCTGTGTTTGGATGAGTTGCTTCCCTTTTTATTCCTCTCTTCACCTCTGGGTTTCCCTTCTCTCTCTCTCTGATACTTACCTGTCCAAGAAGACAGAAAGGTCATGCAATGGTTGCATTTGTATAAGTCGTTCCTTTCTCCCAGGCACATTTTTTTTTTTTTTCTCCTAAAACACCTGAGGAGACACATCCAAGAAAATATATTGAATCTATATTGAATAGATTCCAAGTCTCCAGGTCTTCAGTCTCAGCTTCTGTTTGCACTTAGACAGAGTTTGTGATCTTTACTAGGCCTTGCTCCTGGAACAAAATCATAACAGCAGACTTCCTTAGCTGAACATCAGGAGGGACTTTCTGAAAGTCTGAAGTGATTATATTAACTATTCTCTTTTTCACAGTACTCTCACTGACAAGCAGAAGATTCCAATGTGGAAGTTGCCAGATGCTTTTGATTGAATATGTTATCTGGGAGCCAAACCACTTCACAAACACATACTGCTGGGTTTGTTGTTTTTTTTTTTCCCCATTCTTTCCTACTTCTAGTCCCTTGCAAAATAGATTTTTCAACACAATTAATTTCAAAATATATTTATAGACATGGAAAATTTGTGTGAAATGGAATTATTTTCTCTCAACCATTGCATCTAGTAAGTTATAGAGGTACTGTTTTCTTTTTCTTTTCTTATTTTTTTTTCTTATTGAAAACCCATTTTTTTTCTTTAATCATCCTTTGCATTCCACTATACAGTTGGAAGCAGTCTTTGGCTTGGCTTTTCTCATTTCTAAAGAAATTATTCCAAGGCTGTGAATGAGCATAGCAGAGCACATTCACCACACCCAAGGTAACTTCCCCAGTACTAAAACCTGCACATCTGAGACAAAAAACTTTCCCATTTATAGTATTATTTTTTAAGATAGCCAATAATTTTTATCAAATCTATAAATGCATCTCTTAGGAATTTTAAATTCTATACTGATTCTGAAAGCCTTTTTTTTTCTCTATGAGCACTGTCTTTACCTGTGATATGGCATATTACAGAGTAAAAGTGAAGATTTGTACTTTAAAATATGAGGTTTATAAATTTTATAGGCATGACAAAAAATATATCTATTCTCTTGTGAGTTTAGAAAAGAAGCAGGCTGAGGAAGCAGGCGATTTTAATACTCAAACACGAATGTGTGGAGAAGCAGCCTATAAAGAACTAGCAAGTCCAGCTCCTGAAAAGCTTGACAGCCCATGCTGGAAAGCTTGTTTTGCCAGTTTATACTAACATTGACTTACTTATTTATTATATAACACATAAGGAAGTTAAAACTGTCTGCAGTCATCAAATAGGAGAACATAATATGTTCTTATATAATTTTACCCTCAGTATCAGAATAGTAGGCCACTATTCATTCTGTAAATTTTTATTGCACAGAAATCTCTTGGTTTGTTCACTCTTGACAAATAAATTGAAAGGTTTTAGTATTTAAAATATCACAGAAGCATTTTTTTTCAAATCAGATGAGTGGAATAAATCTACTTAGTTTAGACAGCTAGGGATAGACTCACATATTTTATTCTGCAATGTGTGATCAATTACAAGGAAGATATAGAAGTTCTGATTTTATTCTCACTTTTTTTTTTTTTTTACATAGAAGTGAACCCAGTGATTTTGTTAAAGTCCTGTCTGATTTGAACTCATTCAGTGAGAAAAAAAAAATACATTCCAGGCTTTCTTCTATTCTATTCTATTCTTTTCTTTTTTCTTTTTTCTTTTTTTTTTAAAAAAAACCTTAAAATCATGGTTGTCTGAGATATTTATGCTGTCCTTTTAAAATAAGAAACAACCCCTTAAAGCAATGGAAGTTCAGATATAGTGCTTTTCAGAGAGCCTTTGGGGATAGACAAGCAAAAATGGGACTGTTACTAGTACAGATTTCTTCTAAGTTAAATAGAAATAAAAGAAAGGAAAAATGAAGGAAAAAAAAACAACCCACCTCATATCCTAATTTCAATATTATACTAAAATGATTTATACTAAAATGATTCCATTTCCACTATTTAAAAAAAGGTGGTTAATACTTAGTTGTATTGATTCTATAGAGCTAATCCATGACCCAGTCCTAATCATGCTTTCCTTACTACCTTGTGCTCTCTCCCTTTGGTCAAGTATATTTGTGGTACCACTTGTTTACTTTTTAAGTTCTCCAGTGCATCTCAGTGGATTCTTTTTTTATAGTACCAGTGAAAACTAATAAAAAGTACTATAAATAATAATATAAATATAAGTCTTAAAGATTACTGCTGCAGATGTTCAAACTATTTATAGTAGAAAAAAATATGCAAATGATCAAGGAAAACTTGATTGGATAGATCAGTATCACCATTAAGGATACTGATTTTTGTAAGGAAATCAACTGAACATGCACGGAATTATACTGTTATCTAAAGATCTTTGCATAACCAAAGTAAGATTGATATTGATCCACTTCACATGATCAGAGAATACCTTTCCTCTTTTCACTTGATTCCAGAGGTTGAGGCGATTTGTTCAACTGAATTGCACCTTTAGAGGGCACTATTTTCAGAATGCGGGTTACTTATTTATAGACAGTATCATAGGATTCACAGACCCCCCAATCTAATTGATACTGATAAAGTGCATTTGTTTTGCTATTTGCCAGACTTTAATCACTTTCAGACTTCTGAGAATGTTCTG